CACAGGAAGGGACACAGAGCAGACGGAGCAGGCCACTGGATGGGTGTCCCCAGCTGCACCCTGCTGCCCGGTCAGGGGCGAGTGGCCACGAGAGGGGCTGAGGGGAGACGGGTCCGTGGTGGCTGGGGATCTCAGCAGGGGGCAGAGGACAGCGAGGGCCGCGAACCCTGGGGGAGCTGCAAATCGAAACCACCCCGAGATGCCCCCTAGGACGGCCACTAGCTGCGCACTGCTGACGGGAGCAGCCACTGGGGAGACAGCCCGGAGCCCCCTCGTGGAGCCGCCAGTGACACTGGCTTCCGTCCCGGGCGCGTGCCCACAGGAGCGGAAGGCGGGGCCTCACACACACCTGCATACACACCCGTACACGCCGTTATCCCGGTGCACAAAAAGGGGAAGCGACCTGAGTGTCCTCTGATGGACGAAGGGACGAGCAAGACGCGGTCCATCCGTGTAGGCGATCATCCCTAGAAAGGGCGCTTCACCCCTGCTGCACCACGGGTGAACCCCGAGGGCACTGTGTTCGGTGAAAGAAGCCATCATAGAAAGACAAATCCTGTGTGGTTTCACGTCTATAGGAGGTACCAGAATCTGGAGTGGTCAGATTCACAAAGGCAGAGAGTAGAGACGGTGGTGCTGGGGAGGGTGCTGGTGGGGGGGGTGAGCGTCTGATGGGGAGGGAGTTCCAGTTTGGGAAGGTGGAGAAGTTCTGGAGACGGGTAGTGGGGTGGATGCACAACAACGTGAATGTACTTGGTGCCCCTGAACCAGGCACTTACAAACCGTTAGCTGACCTGGCGAATCGTCTGTGGTGTAGATTTTACCCGGTGAAAAAGCTGCTGAGTTAGCGGCGGGCAGCAGCCCCGAAACACAAACCTCGGGGATTTCCACGTCTGCGACCAGCTCACGGCCAAACACCTGCCCGGCACAACGTAAAAAGGAGAACATTGACGATACCGATTTGACAGTTCAATGTTGCTTTACTCCGAACGTGAAATAACAAACAACCACGGCTAGTTGAGAAAGAGACCACGGAAAAAAGGAAAACGCTTTCCTTTCTAGGTCCTTCAGTGTCCCTTCTACGGGCACTGGAGGGGGGAGCAGGGTGCCTCCCGGGGTGGGGTGCCTGCTGGGGGGGAGCGGGGTGCCTGCCGGGGTGGGGGGGGGGAATGCCTGCCCGGGGGAGAGCGGGGCGCCCACCAGAAGCCTCCCCAGGCTGGCAGGCTGCTCTTGCCTGTGGGCAGAGAGGCTGGGAAGGGGTCTGGGAGGGGCTCCCACAGAACCGTGTTGACACGAGAGTCACGTCAGCACAGGTGGTCAATATAAGGACGGTCTGGGGGTGACTCACGTGCAGACTTCTGCCGGAGGGGCTGGAGGGCTGGCAGAGGTCCCACGAGGTCCCGCCGGGTGACCCCGGGCCGGTGCACAGACTTCTTGTCATTTCTGTCGTCCAAACGGCACAAATGCTTGTGTTCGTTTCTGCTGCATTTAGTAATTTGGATATTGCAATACGCATATTTTAAAAAAAGGCATTCCCTGGGCGCGTCTCCCCCCCTACCTCCCGGACTTGGGAACCCAGGTGCCCTGGGACCATCAGGGAATGTTCTGGGTTTCTCTCAGGCCCCGGGCCCCAGGCCCCGGCAAGGAACCAGAGCTGCCTGTGGTGCGCAGGGTGCAGGGGTGAGGCCTCCGCAGAGAAACAGCTGTGAGCGGGTGCTCTTGTTACCGCATGGCTGTGTGCGCTGCATGTTGAAATGACTGTGGATACCGGGTTAAACAAGAGTAATGATTAAAATTAATTTCACCCGTTTCTCGCTACTTTTAATTACCCGAGTGGCCCACATTCACTTTTCATCTGGTGACACCAGTCTAGAGGGCCACCCTCTGCCACCGGTGAATTAGGTCAGCTCCTTTTTCCCCCCTAATGTCTCCAGAGGGGCCTTTGGGAGGGGGGTGCGTCAGGCCCCCGGCCCCATCTGACGAGCCCTGATGGCCCCCCCCACTCCCCCAACCAGGCAGTGTCCTCCCCACCTTCCCGCTCCCCTCCCCCGACCCGGCCAGCTCTTCCCCCAGAAGCTGGGGACCGGGAACCTGGGAGGAGGCCTTGGGGATCTCTCAGAACCCCTCCCGCGTGCTCCTCGGATCTGGGCTGGGGCAAAGCCTCGCGGGGGCAGGGGAGACAGAGGAGGCCCAGTCCCAGATGGCAGACACTTGGGTGCCCCTGGCCTGAAAACCACCACCCAGGGGGAGGCCCCTGGGGGCACCGAGCAGCTCTGGGCCTGAGTGAGGTTTTCCTAGCAGACAAGGATATGTTCTGAGGCCGGCAGGGCTATGACCCCGGCTTCGTGGCCCAGAGCGGGGCTTTTCCCGAGAGCAGCCGGTACCTTCCGCCGTGGCACAGGCCCGAGGGACCCGGGTGTGCGAGGGGCTGGCCCGGCTCGGGGTGGCTGCGAGTTCAGGATCTGGGGCTGGCTGCCTGGCCGAACGCAGGTGGGGTGCCGTCTGCCCTTGCGGTGCCCCCGGCACACGCACACACGCTCACGGACACGTGCACACACTCACACGCACACGCTGGGGCCTCCTGAGCGGGGCAGCCTTCCAGGGAGCTCATCTGTCTTGTAGACGCCCCGCCCCCTCTTGGGGCCCCACCAGCCACCCCAGAGTGTTGGAAAGATGTCCCCCATCCGGGGTGCGTCCTGGGCTTAAGATAGGCCCCCTGCTGGATCCGTTGGGTCTTGCGCACCTCCCCCCCACCCACGGTGGGCCGCACAGCTCAGAGACCCTCAGCAGCGGGGCCTCCGTGGGACACCCACGCTGGCCTGGGACTCAGCCCCGCCGCAGCCTCGGTGCCCGGCCTGGCCTGAGAGCCGAGCCTGCCAGGGCGTGTCTCCCCACAAGGTGAGTCTTCTCTTAGCCGCACCCCTGCCCTCTGCCTGTCCAGGGCACAGACTGGGCCACCCAGGTGAGCCAGTGCCAGAGGTGGGCAGCCTCCGGGTCCAGTCGCCACGAGGGTCCAGCGTGGCCAGGCCTGGGGAGACCCGCTAAGTGACAGGGCCCACCACCACCAGGCGAGGGCTTCTGCCAGGGTCCGTGTGGCTGCAGAAGCATCCGGGCCTGGCAGGGGTCGAGGCCGCGCTCAGAGGGGGAGACTCCGGGCCTCTGGCAGGGGCAGCTCCGGCTGGTGGCTGTGCCCTGGCCCTGCCTTCACCCTCTCTGCTGGCCCCGCGCCACGGCCGCCTGTCCCAGGACACCGTGTGCAGCCGGAACAGGGCGTGTGTTTGCTCAGGGCGCCCCACGGGTCCCTGCTCGGCACCCAGGAGCCTCAGCAGGCCGGACAAGGGCCCATTGTGTCCCCAGCTGCCCCTGCCCCACAGCCACAGGCCACAAGGCTCCCACCGGGTCCCCCATCCCCCCGACTCCGCCCCCGCCTCCTGACCGCACCACCCACCGTCTCCCCGCTGCACGCCCTGGCCTATGCCCCTAGCCTGTCCCTCATCCCAGTCCCCGACGCCCCTGACAGCCCACACCCTGCCTGCCCGCTGGGCCCAGGCCTCCTGGATCCTGATCTCTGGTGCCGCTCCCTGCCTAGACACCACCTGGTGGTGCATCCAGGTGCCCCGGGGCTGCCCCCCTCTCCTCCCCTCTGCCCCACCCAGGGCGGGAGACCCTCTTAACCGACTGTCCCAGGCAGGGCAAGAGCAGAGCAGAGCCCCTCGGGCCGCAGGGGCTTCCCACTGGAGGGGGCCCGAGAGGTGGCAATTGCTTGGGTGGGTCCAAGGGTCCTGGGGGTGGCAGGGGACAAGTGTAGGCCCTCGGTGCCCTCTGTCAGGCTCGGGGCTGGGGTCCCTTCATGGGAGAGCCACACTGCTGCCCAGAGAGGGGGGCGGGGCTGGCTACGCTGGCCCAGAGAGGAAGCCTGTGGGTGAGGCCTGGTCATGAGCTGTGAGGGCTGCAGTGGCTCAGGCGTCAGGGCCTCGGGGCTTCTCAGTGGACGGGGGGCTCGTGGGGGGGCCACCTGCACCCCTCCGGCGCAGGGGCCAGAAGCGGTTGAGGGGGGCACCCACAAGCCAGGATGACCTAAATGGTCCCAGTGACAGGTGGGGAAAGGTGTCACCATCCACCGCAGGGGAGCCCAGGGGACAGGGTGAGCCATGGGGCAGGTGTGTTGTTAATGAGTCATCGGAGCAGCTACCTAAGCGACAGGGATGAACTGACTTGGGCACCCTGCTGGAGCGACTTGGGGTCAGTGGGTCAGCCCCACCAGGGGAGGACCCAGCTGGTGCACCCACCCACTCAGGGGGGCGGGCACACGTGTGTGATCACCCCCCCCCCGCCACTCAGCCGCATTTGGGGGTCTCCAAGGTCCCCCACTGACCCGGGTCTGCCCTCTTCCTGCTCCCCTCCCCCTGCAGCTGTGAGGCTCCTCCTGGGCCCGGCCCAGTGAGGTCTCAGGTGGGGAAACCAAGGCTAGAGGTGAAGGAGGGGGCGGACATCCGTGGGGCAGGCTTGTCTGACACAGGCCAACAGCCAGCCATGTAGAACCGGTCTGACCGTGTGTGTGTGTGGTGGGGGGGTCATGTCCACGTGCGCACGTGCGCTGGGATCCTGCCAGGAGGCAGGTGGAACAGAGGCCGCAGCGTGCGTCACGGGCAGCACCCCAGGGCCCCCGCCCAGCGGCAGATGGCAGGGCTATACCAGGCAGCAGAGCCCCGAAGGCCGGGCCAAGGGGGGGGGGGAGGGGCTGGGAGGCAGCCGCTTTGCTCCCCTCCACAGGTCAGAGACACAGAGACAGGTGCACCGGAGGCCACATGTGGCCCGGGGCCTGGCCACCGGGTAGTTGCCAAGACGCCCTCTGCGGCCCTACCCTGGCTCTGCCCACCCCACCCTCAGTCCTAGGTCAGCCCGGCCCGTGCCCTCCAGACCCCCGTGCTCGCTGAGAGAAGGCCAGCGTCAGTGTCGACGCGCTGCCCTGAGTCGGCACGCTTGCGGCCACGGTGCCCAGGCTGCCCGGACGCCGGCCCCCGCCCGCCTCCCTGAGAGCGCCGCAGCCCGGCCTGCGCTGGATTCACCAAATCCTGGAAGGGAGACTTCAGGACCGCAGACCGTCCACAGAGGCCCTCTGCCCGGCGCGGCCCAGCCCGCCCCTCCTGCCCCAATCCTGGGCTCCTTCCCGCCACCCTGTCCCCGCAGGCCTCACTAAGACACCTCCCCTTGGCCTGGCTGGCGTCCCTCTGCCCCCACCTCCTCTCCCAGCCTCCTGGACCCTAGATCGTCCCCACGGGAGACGCCCCCCACCTGCACCCTGGTGGTGCTGGACATGGGGAACGCCAGCCGGGGGCGCAGCCAGCCCCTCCTACCCGGCCTCCGGGACTCGCACGGAGCCCAGGCCTGGCCACCCCCCCCCAGCTCCCGTACCTCCCCTCCCCTGGCTCCTGGCCCAGTGAGCCCCAGCCTCAGGCGTCTAGTCTGTGAATGGGGCGGCAACCACAGCCTGGCTGGCTGTTTGCGCTCCTGAGCCTCAGTTTCCCAATATGTAAATGGGGAGCAAGAGGAGGACAGCATGCCCCATCTCTGCCCTGAGAGCCCCACGTGAGGAGAGGGGTGATGGGCGGGTCCTGCGCAGAGGTGTGGCAGTGGCTCTCTGCCTCCCCTCCCTGTCCTGCCCCTGCTCACCAACAGATACGCTTCGGCCCCAGGAAGGATGCCGGTACCTGGAATCCAGGACCCGAAGGACGCCCCCCAGGCCTGAGCTAGTTCCCGCAGCTGCCCCCCCCCCCGCCCCACTTCAGGCCAACATGCACCCCGAGCCTGCCCAGCCGGCCCTGCCCTGGTCTGGGGCTCCGGGCCTTGGGAAGAGGCAAAGCCCAGGTGAAGCCTGGATGGGGGGATGGGAATGGTGTGTTTTAGTGCCTAGAAGTCAGGGGGCATCGGCAGAGGGTCTGGGTGCTAGGAAGGGGCGGGAGACACAGAAGCGGGTCACACCGGGCTGCAGGACACTATGGGCACCCTACCCACCCAGCCCGTCAGGCGCCTCCCCACCCACACCTTCCCCTAGCGGCTCTGTGGGGGCAGACGGCGCTCCCAGGAGACCCATCTTGCAGCTCAGAGAACTGAGGCCCGGTGGCTCTGTCTTTCCTCCACAGGCGAGAGGGAGCCACTGAAGGTTTCCAGCCAGGGAGTGGTGTTCGGAAGCAGGCTCCAGAGGTGTCCCGAGAAGGAGGGCCAGCGGGGGTCGAGAGCAGCAGAGCCTGGGCGCTGGGGCTGGGGGGGGGCCGGGGCGGGGGGGGGTGCCCACCGGCCCCACTGGAGGGGGGGGGGGGGGCCTCGGCCCTGGGTCCCAGAGGAGCTGCCTCGCCGGCCTGGGAGGGACTCCAGGGCCGGGTCGAAACCCCGGACTGGCAGCGCGTCCCAGAAACCACAAGTCAGCGGCTCCCCTCCGGCTGACGCTGCCTGGAAAGCCACTCTGGGAACGCCCCGGGTGCGGCACAGAGACGGGGGTGAGAGGGCAGAGGGTCAATGTCGGATATTGCCTGGGGCCCTCAGGGGAAGGATCGAGTCCCCAGGGTGGGGCCTGGGCCGGAAGGGAGGAGCCTGGCCTGGCTGCGAGTGGGGGGCACCTACAACGCCCCCATCGGGTCTCCCGGGCAGTGCTGGGTGATGACAGGCTCAGCGCGGAAGCCCCCGGGGGGCCCAGACCCCCAAGGGGCTGACGCTGCTGTGCTGTCGATGAAGGAGAGACAAGGCCCCCGTCTGGAGCCCAGCCAGGCCCTGGGGGGGGGGCCCCAAAAGGAGGTAGAGGGGGCTGGCACAGGGTCCACTCTGGGCCAGGTTGGCTCTTAGGCACCTCTTGGTTCCCCCCCACCTCCGGCCCCCTGCGCAGGGCTGCCCCACAGCCCCCCCCCCACCGTGCCCTGAGGAAACTGCCCCCCCAGGGCAGTGGGGGGGAGCCAGGCCCACAGGAAGCAGGAAGGGGGTCTGGGCAGGGAGGCCCTGGTGGCTTGGGATGGGGAATTTCTTGGGCGTAGGGGAGCTTAGCCAGAGAGTAAAAGCACAGAATTCTTTCCATTTCTCTGTGGTGACTCAGTAGCTGCTCCCCCCCCTCTCCGCCCCCCACCCCGGGTGACTGCGTCAGCCCCCGGGAGGGGCCTGGCCCTACGCCGGGGGGGAGGCCCCCCCCCCCCCCCCCCCGCTGTGCTGCAGCCCAACTTCTCTTCCCAGTCAGGTGTGGCCTGGCCCAGCTCAGCCCCCACCCTCCACCCTGCGCCGCTCTCCCCGTCCTGGTCCCCCACCCTGGCCACACCCATCTCCAACCCAGCCTGGACTCCAGCCTCCAGGCTTTTATAGGGGGCCGGGCCCTGGATCCCAGCGTGGGTGCCAGTGCCAGCGGGGGGGGGGGGGGGGAGGGTCCACACAGGGTCTGCGAGGCCCTGCCCGCAACCCCACCGTGACTCAGCGGTCCTGCTTCCAGCCAGGGGGCTGCTCCACCTGCCAGGGTGCCTGAGCTGGCTGGGAAGGGGCTTGGGAAGACAGGGAGCACACGTGATAAGGAGCCCCCGTGCTGGAGTGCCCACCACGGACATCTGGTCACCACCTGCCTGGTCCACACGGGCTGGCTGGCCTCACGCACACAGACCCGTGTGCTCACCTGTTCGCAGTGCTTTACCTATCGTCTGAACCCTGGTGCAGGCTGACCAGCCGCTGGGGAGCTCTGTGCTGTCCTCCCGGCCAGACTGGGTCCCTCTAAGCTCCTGGGCCCCAGAATACCTGGGCAGCCCCGCGGTGGCCCAGTCCCACTTGGGGGTCAGCAGGAGTGAGCAGGGGGACGCGGGATGGGGGCATCTCCTCACCGGAGGCCTGTTCAGCTTCTGCGCTGGCTGGGGTCCTCCCTGGCCCTGCCCCCCCCCTTCCACTGTCACTTTCAGGAACAGGGGAGTGGCCTTGAGGTGGAAGCCAGCCCAGCTACTTCTTTTGAACCAGATGCTCTGTCCAGGTCACCTCCTGCCTGGGGACAGAGACAGGGCCTCGGTGGGCTCTCTGGCCGCCCCCAGTCTGGGTTGGAGCTTAGACTCGGGGTGGGGGGCAGAGCCACAGCAGCCCCAAACCCTTTCTCCTTTACCTGCCCTCCATCCCCCCCTCCCCACAGAACAACATGATAAGCAGGGAAAGTCCTCTAGCCCAGGCTTGGGGCTCAGGGTGACCAGACCGTCCTCTTCCTCCCTCACGGGTGCGGCCAGCAGCCCCTGAATACTGACCTCCCGCAGCGGGCCCACATCCTGAGCCCCCACACTCCTGCCGTACCTTGGGATCCGAATGCCCACGTGCCTCTCAGTGCCCAACCCCGGCCGGCACTGGGGACGCTTCCGGGAGCCAGACCCAGTCCCTCTGGCAAAACCCGCGGTGAGGAGGGTCTGGAAGGCTAGATGGGGGCCTCCTGTGGCTCACCTGGCAGATGTGCTCTGCCCTGCCCAGCCCTGCTCCAGCCTGCGCCCCCCCGGGGTCCGGCCCCTGCGCACGGCCCGGGTCCACCCCCAGCGGGCACGGAAAGCAGGGGCCGGCTGAATCTCGGGTCCACGGATGCTTGTGCGCCACCTCAGGCCTCCAGGGTGCTGAGCACCTCACGGGCCTCAGCCAGTGCCCGTCTCGTCCTTCAGCCAGGAGCAGAACTTTGGGCCACACTGGACCTTCCTTGGAACCACTGACACGCCTGGGCATCGGGGGACTCGCTCCAGGCTGGCTATTTCCGAACCGTTAAAGGAGAAGACCCACAGTGCTCCCCGGCTTACCGGCTCAGAGCTGTGTGGGTGCTGCCTGGGGCCGGCAGGGAGGGGCCAGCTGAGGCCTGACCTGAAGTTCTCCCCAAGCCTCACCTGTTCTTGGGTGGAGCTCCTGCCCTCGCAGTGACTCTCTTCTATGTGCTCGGCTGGGCCAGTGGCCACCCGTGGGCTCACCCTTCCTGAGGCGTCCCCCTCAGTGTCCCTGAAGACTACTGCTGTCTCTGCTGTAGTATGAAAGCAATACCCCCACAAGGGCTGCAGTGGGGGTATGTGAGTGACGGAGCACAGCGGGTATGCAGGAAGTGCTCACTAAACGCACATATCCAAGGCCATACTGTGTCCCGAGCTCATGTTTGCCGTGACCAGGCCCTCAGGGGGTCTGTGCTCCGGACACTCTGGGGGTCCATTTGCAGGGGACAGTTCCTCCACGACCTGAGTGTGGTCTGAGTGGCCTGGGCCAGTGCTGGGACTGGCCCAAGACTACGTCATCACTGCTTGGGCCCCGGGGCCCCAAGGTCCCTGAATCCCTCTGGGACTCAGGACACCAGCCCCGTCCGCTCTAGAGAGACTCCCTGACTGGCTCCAAATGGCACAAGTCTGGTCCCCACACCTTTGGCCCCGCTGTTGCTCCAGCCTGGGCCCTGGAGGTCACAGGTGCTGAGAGCCCCCCACGCCCTCCCTCTGTTCTCTGTCAGCCTTAGAGACCCGGCTGAGTTGGGCCTCCTCCTCCAGGAAGATCCCACATGGGACCCACTGCCTGCGTGGATCCTGAACCCTGGCCAGTGGGAGCTTCATGCAAATCAGAGGCAAACCCAGGCAGAGCCAGCTTCTGGCTCCTTGGGGATCACCCTCATAGCCCCTGCCACACCTCACCCTTGTCTGCATGCTGGAGGTTGGAGTGGAGTGGGGCGACGGTCCCATCCAGCCTGGACGTCATCCACAGAGGCTGCAGGACTTTCCCTGGCTAGGTTCTCAGAGGCTGCACCCGGTCCTGGGGGGACAGGGTGTGGGGTCCCCGCAGAGGGTGGCACCGCCACCCTAGCCCCTGGGGCCCCAGGCCCCCAGGGCAAGCAGGAGGGATGTGGGACAGCCCTCCCCTAATCCAGGCAGGGCTCCTTGGCCTTGAGGTTCTCAGCATGGTGGGGGTGGAGCTGCCCGGGTGAACTGGGCCCGGTCCCACGTCTCCCGGTCCCGGGGAAACCCCTGACTCTATCGATGAAATCCAGGGCCCGTGCCCAGGACAACAGACGGAGACCCCGCAGTCATGTCCATCAGAGGCCTCCTGCGTGCCGTGGGAAACACCTCACAGGCACCTCACTGGGTCCTCCTTCCGGACCCACACGAGGGTGATCAGAGTCCCCGCAGACAGGGAGGCCCAGGTGAGGAGAGGTTGGGGATGTGCCCATGGTCCTGGCATGGGCTGGTGGCAGAGCAGGGACTTGGCCTGAGGGGTGGGTGGGGACCAGCTGAGGCTACTCAGCTTGGGTCAGAGGGCGGTCCCAAGGGAGGGAGGAGATAGGCCCTAGCTAAGTGGCCGGGGAGCTGATGCCCACCGTCGGGGGCCAGCCTGGTCCCTGTCGCTGGCCTGAGGGTCTCTGTGGGGAGAGGGTTTCTGTGGGCAGATGGTCACCGTTCCCATCGCCGCCACCCTCAAGGCTGGGCTTGGGGTGTCCAGTCCGGCTGTGCTCGGGTCAGCTCTACTGGGGACCTGGCCCCTCCCCAGGTTAGGCCTGGACCCTCCCCCGGCTTCTTCGGTTTTTCAGGCCCTGCCCACCAGAAGCAGGGGCAACCGTTGCCAGGCCTGAGGGGGCTCGCTGGCTAAAGGGTCCACGGTGGCGTGGGCGTGCCATCAAGAGGGAGCAACAGTTCTCGAACGCAGGCCGGCCTTGGCCGGGGGTCAGGCCAGACCGGGGCCCCCTGGGCAGGGAGGCCAGAGTTCACGCAGGCCACCGCCGCCCACTGGCTCCCACGCATTTTCACCCCACCCCAGCCCAGGCCCTAGCCCCGGTTGCCTTTGGGAAATGTTACAAAACCCTGGCCCGGTCCTGCCGGCTCGCCTCCCTAGCGGGTGAGAGGCCACAACGGAGGTGAGGCGAGTGGAGGCCGGAGGGAAGGCCCTTCCGCCTCACCCAGACGCCCCTGCTGCGGCTTGTGCCGGCGCTGGAGGAGGGGCGGGGGCGCCGGGCTGTGTCACCGAGTTCTCAGGGCCCAGCTGGGGGCTGGGGCGGGAGCGGGTGCTGGTACAGAGCTGGGTGTTGTCTGGGAGCCAACAAGCCAGGTGTGCGGGCCCGGAAGAGGACAGACCCGGGAAGGCCAGGGGTTCCTGCAGTCAGAGCAGAGGCCAGAGGTGGCTTAGGGTGGTGGCTGTGACCGTGGGCCAAGTCACCGGGGGTAACCCTGCCGGCCAGGGCAGTCCTGGTGGCAGCATGCCGGCAGAAGGCAGGAGCTGGAAAGACAGGTTGCAGGGGATGTAG